TAGGAAAAGTCGAATAGTATTGATCACTTTTTATGATACCACAGCAACAAAAATAGAGGTGTTCGTCCCCCGTATTGGGTAATTTCTTGTTTTGAATGACCAAACGATTGAACACTGTCTTCAGTTGGACAAATATTGGGGCCAATGGCGTTGCAATCAGATTTGCTCCCCATATATGGAGGCTTAAGTCCTCCAAGCTGGCAGCCTGGCTTCATGTCCAGCTTGGGGTTCCTTTTCTGTTTGTCCCTACTCTTGATTTTCTACTCTGTCCACTGTCCTGTCTAAATAAGTAGACTAGAAAAGCACTATAGAAGCTCAATTCCATTCACCATCCAACCTTTGACTGCAAGCATGCTTAAGTGTAACAACATGTTTTCTCTTCCAAAGACTTCTTATTCCAATGAGATTTATTTTCTATGTGACAGAAAAACCAAAGTCTGTCTGTAACACAATGCAGCTTATATGTGGGACGCCTGTCAGATGGTTTGCTTTCACAAAGACTCTTCTGTAAATGCACTTCGCACAACAACTCCAGTCGTTTAAATGCTTTTCAAACAGTCAATCAAAAACTTCAATCGGACAAAGAAAAAATATGTTCCAATTTATGATTTTCTGCAGCATATTTGAGGTAATGGCTCTTTAGATTGCCATCATATGAAACCCCCTCTTTCGCTCATTCCCACATGAACATCTTCAAAGTTTAACTTTAAAATACACAGAGAAGCACTTTCATTTGGTTTTCCAATAAAAATGCAAATCGGCTTATCTTACCTTCCCTGTCAACAATGGTGAAGTTCGGGTTGGTGGCACTTATACTAAAGACAAACTTGTGTCCAACAAGGGGTTCATCTGTGTCAACAGCACTTATTGTCTGAATCAGCTGCCGAGAAAAACAGAACAAGGGATCAGAAAAAAACACATTTGAGCTTGTTATTTGTCTTTTCAGAGAGAGGGCGGGTATAAAAGCATCTTATCTTGAACTCATGAAAATGGATAAATACATCCGAAACTTGAACATTTCATGCATTATAGTTCACTGACTTTCAAAGAGGACTCGCACTGTAGTAAGAAAAAAAAAACAGTCACTGAGAAGAAACTCAAATTACACTCATCGGCATGTAGTGCGAGGCGTTTGGGATTCGCTGCCTCTCAAAACTCAACAAACACATACTCTGCAGTGTGAAAGACTGTCCCCCAACACAGATCTATCAGTATTCAACACGCACCGTGAACATTGTGGGTCACCTCCCCTGTACATGTCAGGAAGTGACCGGCGTGAAACTCCTCCCTGAGCCTCCCTGTTGTTTACTGCCAAATTTTGTTTGGCCTTTTGCCCAATAACACTGGAAATATGTTTCCCCCAAATGGTTTCCAAAGACTAATACATCCCCCCGATAACTACAGGGTTTTCATACTTCAAGGTTATTTAAGTTAAATGCATATATGTATTCATATATTCTGGTGATTATACGTCTCCCGCACACAGATATCAATTTCACTTTGACAGATTCTCTCCGGACTGTAATCCGACTGAGGGAAAGTTACTAAAAGTCATCTAAGTGCAGGGATGGCTGGTGTAAATGTGCTGGCAGGTCTAAGCCCTTCATTTCTTATACAATACATATAAGAAAAACAAACTTACAACAAATTGTTTTAAGGTTTGGTAGAACCTCGAATAGCAACAGAACAGAAAAGTTTCAAGAAAAACACCTGATATCTCTAAATGAGCTAATACTTTTTTAAAGCTGCTCAAGCACAGCATCCTCTTTCATTCACTTCCACAGTTAAAACTAGCGATATGTGTCATGGTAAAGCCCCTTGATTTGCTGATCACTTCAGCCACCAACTTTTCACCAATGACACTACGGTAGTAGTGCCAAAAATATGTTGACACGTTGGCATAGCTTTAGATTTGAATTGACTTCAACTTGTCCTTAAACAAACACATTCTTTGATTAACATTTCAAATATGAGGTAATAAAATTGTATTACCTGCCCTGCTTTGACGTTCTCACAAACAAATGTATCGTAGGACATTGCAAACTCGGGAGCATTGTCATTGACATCCAACACCTTAATGAACACAGGCACTCGAGTCGTCTGACGTGGGTTATCTGAAATAAATGGATTTTTCAGAAAAATCAGCGTGTTTTTGAAAAGAAGTCAGAAAACTGTTGAAGAAATAGAAACACATCTCACTTATTTCAGTAGCCACCACAGAGATGTTGTGCCATTTGGACATTTCTCTGTCCAGGGATTTCAGTGTAGTGATGGTGCCATTCACAGAATCAATGTTGAACAGCCTCTCAAGATCTGTATGCCGATCGATGGAGTATCTGAAAGCATGAGACACAGAGACGACAAAGTAAATACAAAAAGAAGGAAAAAAAGAACATTTTGTGAAGTGTAAGGATTTAACACTTCACTTAAATTAGACTAGCCTGTATTCATTCAAGTGTTTTCACCTTCATATTTTAAATTATAGGCAGAAAGCAAATCCCCTCATTGCAAAAAAGAAAATAAAGAAATCTATGCGAGAAATCTCCTTATTCACAGTTGATTAATTACCTCAGAAAACATTTTCTACCGACCGGTTTCAAGCCATTTTCATATTAGAATGATGTTCATTAAAGTTAAAGTATGGTCCCGTTTATGTAAAATAAACAACAAGAAAGAAGCTGGGACTACTTAAGTCGTGATTAGATTTAAATCATGTGACTTGACTAGAGATGTAACATTACGTTAAAGGACACACAAGACTCCATTGCAATATCGACGAGCTCAAAAGTGATTGATTTTTCAGGTTTTGAAAAATACAATTTTGATCCCCTTCCCTAACTGCGACTCGGTTTTTGAACATAAACAGCTTTCAATTGAATTACAAATTAAAGTAAAAGCTTTAAAATTCTTTCTTCTTAGAAAAATTCAATTTCCACCAAACATACTGAGCACCCAAAGTACATCTGTACTTCATAGAAATCTGCTTTATACATTACATCACTGTTGGTTTCCAAAAGACAGATTCCATATTCCCCCATGTCTAAAGATGATATATCTTCCCTCATGCCAGCTCATTTGTCATAGTCATCTTTCATATTCCACTGAAATTTGAATATGCAATACAATACGCCATGTGGCACGCGCTGGGAGTGGCGTATCTCTGTGTCAGAGACGGGCAGGCGCCATATGTGTGGAATGGCGGCACTAAACTGTGTGAATCGATACAGCAAATGAAGCTCTTTCACTTTGACTTTGTGCAGTGCCACGGCGGGCTTACATAATGCAAAGAAATAAACAGAGTCTGTATTCACTTCACAGGTCGGCCGCCATCTTCCACTGGGGAAATGACCAGGAGAGAAGCATGAATAATATCCTTTTTTTTTACCCTTCTCCACCTACCCTCCCTCTCCTCCACACTGACACATGGCAGCACTGATGGATTAGATTTAGCCAAGTGGGCACATTTTCAATCTCCTGCTAAAGAAAAAAAAAACTGATACGAGGAGACTTTGTATTTCTGCCATGTGTTGCTTGTTTTCATATTGATTTTAAACTAGTTTAATTAAAGCTGGAACAATGAGTTTGGGAACAATCAAATTGACACAATAAGGCATTACACCCTCCGGGTTGGCGAGGAAATCTTTGCTTAAAAGGTAATTGATTATCTTCTAAGTTTGCAGAGTGGTGAGTGCTTATTTCCTCAGGGGTAAAATTGTGTTGTCGAAAAATTGGTATAGTTAAGGTAGGGTAGTTTAGAAGAAGAAAAGGAGGAGAATAAATGCATCAATGCAGACAAAGCCAAGGCTTGCACACGTAACCTAAGCCACAAATAAAAATGATGAAAATGATGATGATTATTCCAAAGTTTTGCTGCTATTTGGATCTTCATCAAGTGAGAATGTTTGGAAAGTGGAAACCACACTCACATGTTACACTCTCCACATCAATAGTCTCAAAAGCTCTAGGATATCACTAGTGCTGGAGGCTTAGATCAATTGTTTCAAAAGTATTGACTTTGCCTTCATAACCCATTCATTCATGCACTTCTGTTTTGAACCCAAGTTGAACATTCAGCCAGCACGGCTTAAGCCAGAGGTCACGATATTGGACAGTTTGGATACACACTTCAACAACTCTATCCCAGATTAATCCTGGTTGTATTGAAGAACACTTGAAAGTAGTAGTGAAGACCATAAACTCCTTAAAGGAAATGTTAATAGAGGTTATGAATCAATTCTGAAGTAGGCTCATTTTCTGATCTGGTTCCAATACAATTGGACTTCTGTTTCAACCAGCGCGGCCTTTCCCCTGCTGGCCATTTTCCTTTCACGTTGGCTCCTCTTTAAAAGCAATTGGCAACACTTATGTCTTATACGTATGTACGGGTCAATGATTTAAACAGTCCAGGGTTGTTAATACAATAAAGTAGTATTCAGAAAAATGAACATACTTCAAATACCCATATAGAAATCTGCACCTACTCATTCTGAGAATATGAAGTTGGAAAACATAATTATGTGAACAGGTCTTGTTTGTATACCATATTGGATACAAACAATCAGGAGAAATCTGTTTTATAGAACAAAAAAAAAACAGATTTCTGTGCAGGTTGTTAAAATTAAAAGTAGGAATGGTAGTAGTATAATACTTTCACAACCTGCTATATTCATGAAGAAACACTGTTGTTTTCTTATAATCCTGTGGAATACCTCTTAGTTTAAGATTGTAGAGGGTTGAAATTAAACATTTTTGAGGTACGAGTGAGTGTGCAGGCTTTGTTTTTTTTTCATAAGGAAAGAATGGGACATTCGGCTTTGCCTCTGTCTAAGCTCCAGACACTTCTCTCTGAGTCTCATAACATACTTGACTGGCTTGTTGTCGGCGTCAGGGTCCCTGGCCGACACCGCACCGACGAAGCTGCCAGCAGCCGTGTCCTCGTGCACCTCGATGATGTAAGGGTTCCTGGTGAAAACGGGCGGCTCGTCCACATCCTCCACCGTTACTTTGACTGTGGCATAGTCTTTGAATTGCAAACCGTGGATGAACCTTGCATCTAAGTACGTGTTTCTCACCTCCACTCTGAACTCATAGTCCTTCTTACTTTCGTAATCCAGTGCCTGGAGATGAAAGAGCATCAGAAGTCAAGCTTTAGACTTTTCCATAAAATAAAATATATATGAAAAAAACGTCTGCCTCCAGGATTCTGATAGGCAATTCATTGCGTTTCATTTGTCTGCCTTTATCTCATTCACACTCTAAATTCGAAGTTACAAATCCAAGTGAGGAATACTGATCTGGGTGATCTTCAGGGAAAAACTAAAAAGTGTTTCTAGCAAAAAAGGGCTTTATATTATTCATTTCACAGGCTTAGGCTATCTGATTCTACACTGGAGTTCAAATATATATTCCGTCATATGTCTTTATTACAAGAACAAATGTTATCAGGGGGCTGTTTCTAATCTGAAAGTGTACTATTCTGTCTTTCCATTGAAGTCAAATGTACATATCTGGTCGAGATAAAACGAAAGCTCAAATTTTAATTAAAGCCTACACTACAACTTGGAAAGCCAAGAGAAACCCCTGAACTTTGAAGAACTGAAATATCTTTTTTTTTACAGAAATAACACACACAAGCACATTCCAGCTTTTTACTGCATGTATATTTAAGTTTCTTTCTGGAGTTGTGTAATCATATTTCAATCCAGGTTTAATTCGATGTATTTTCCAATCTATTTATTTCAAAGGGCTCAACTTGAAAGCCCTTCAGCCTGTCTTGAAGGCAGAAAGATGTTTCATTGGAGCTGTATGAAAACATGTCACTTGTCACTCGATGTGTTATGTCTGATTGCACAGCCATTAGCAATCAAATCATAGTTACATAACAGCTAAGGGTGTCTGGGTTTGATGCTGACTGCGGACTACAAAGTATGAAGAATAAGGACATGAGGGACAGAAATGAAATTACCTTTTTGATTATGATGACTCCTTCCTGTGTGGTTTGGTCGGTGATGATGTTGAATATGTCATGACCGCCAACAATACTGTACTCCATCTCTGCATTGCGCCCAACATCTGGATCATCAGCCTTAATGCGACCGATGGCGCCACCGATCTCTGTGGACTCCACGGAAGTCACACGAAAGGAATCTGCACAGGATCAACCAGTCAAATTTGAACTGTGTAGAACTTTTTATCACCAGCAAATACATCAGAAAGTGTTTTATAAGCCAGATCAAGCAAAACAGTGTAAAACAAATATATTTATTTGTTTTACAAATATACAACTTTTACAAATATACAACTTTTTATAAATACCACACTCATAAAGAGCAATTTTCAATAAAGCCAAATAAAAAAAAAGATTCATGATAAGTTTTAAGAAATCACATTGAATGCTACTGAGAATTTTAAACTCTAACTTTGTTTATTCCCACATTTATACAAATGAGTACAAGTGACTGAAATCCTTAACTATATGGATGAATGAATAATGAAAACTCAATTAAAACCAGACTAAATAGGTGAAATCAAATAATTTGACTGAAAAATTCATCAATGCAAATCAATTGGAGCCACACTAAATAGGTAAATAAGACTCAATTAAAAGCTGCTCTTTAATGGTCATATATAACATAAATGGAATAATATATAATTAAAACTCAATTAGAAGTCCGACTTAAAAGCTAAAAAACACCTCGAGCGATAAATGAATGAATCACGATTAATCTAAAGTTTCACTGAAAAGGTAGAATAAATGATGTAGACTGATTGAGCCGAGCAAAAGAAGTTGAATAATGTCTAGAAGTCTTTTTGAAATCGGCCGTTGAACCCCATCAGCTAAAGGGAGTAACAACTTTCTGGAGCTGTGTAGCAAACAGCCAGCCATGAAGGACCTCAGGATATGAATCCCATTGACTTTGTGTACAATCCAACTACATACATAAAAAGTGAGAATGGAGTTAAAAGGTTAAGTGTTAGGTAGGCCTGTCCCCGACTAAGGATTTACATAGTCCAACCTGATTCGTCAGATTTTGCCGAAAGTCAATCAAAAGTTTTGTTGTTGTTTTTTTTGCGCTCAATGATCCATATCTTGATGTGAATTTTTTTTGTAAAGATTTATTTTTGGGCTTTTTGTGCCTTTAATGCAGAGAGAGGACAGTGGATAGAGTCGGAAACCAGGGAGAGAGAGCGGGGAATGACATGCGGAAAGAGGCCACGGGTGGAAGTGAACCTGGGCCTCCTGCTTGAGATGAGAGCCTCCATACATGGGACGCGCGCCCTAACCAGTACGCCACCAGCGCGCCCCATCTTGATGTGAATTTAATCAGATCATTAAACTATTTGTCTTCTAATCTTGGAATTACAATTCATTCTCCAACAGGTAATCGTCTTATCATAATAATCCACCAAAATGGTTAAACGGTTTCATCTGAACACATTTCATCCACAAAGATAACCAGACTGCTTAAAAAAAACTCTGCTATTCCGCTGACCTTTGAATGACACCTCATTACAGCCTATAACAGCCAATGACAGCCTTTGAAAGGAGATGACACCTCCTGTTCTGACATCCAATTGCACGCGACTGTGCCGATGACTGACATCTCGTGTAGCCAATGACATTTCCAAACATTGATATGCTGCTTCTATCAATACTACTAGGTGATTTCTTCATGCACACACTAATGTTACCAACAGAGGCTAACTGTATGAGCCATGAATTATTTGGAGAAAATGGGCAAATCTATGCAAAAATTAGACATTAAACACCCCCATTTAGCTGGAATGGAATAGTCCTTGTGCGTGACTATGAGAGCGGCAGTCGACTGAGGCTTTGACGAATGAATTGTTGAGTACTCGACCATATGGAGTCACCCCTAGTGTTAGGTGAAGACAACATCCAAGAGTGGATTTGAAGCTGCTCTTTAATGCTGATACATGTCAAACATTAACTTTGGGTTGGATGGTTCAGAGATGGCAATAAAGTGGAATCTGTATTGCATCATATGTAGATCTAACATATATATCCTCACACTCAGATTCTTTGTAAAACCAGACAAGATGCAAATCAATGCAGCACAAATGTATATGTAGAGCTCTTACGATTAGCGAAGCGTGGTGGGCTGTCGTTCACATCAGAGAGCGTAATGCTGACCGTCGTGGTTCCTGAAAGCCCGCCCATCTGACCGGCCATGTCTTTAGCTTGGATCACCACCTGGTAGTTTTCCTTCACTTCTCTGTCCATGCCGGGCAGGGCTGTCTTGATGGTGCCTTTAAAAATAAATAAAAAAAAGAAAGAAGAAATTATTTCCAGCACTTTTTCCAATTTAAAAAGAAAACTTCATTTTGGTGAAATTGATTTGCCGTCTTGTTGAAAATGAGATCAGATTAAGATCAATTCGATCTCTGTTCTCAACCACGGTTCCCAGAAAATTGCATTTATTTACAGCTAATTAGGTTTGCCAATTACGTTTTGAGGGGAAATGTAGCTGCTGCTTGGCTTATGTTCCCTGGCAACGCGCTTCTAGTGTCAGATGTGCACTCACAAGGTTGAAGGGTGAAGGAGTATAGAAAGCAATGACTTTGGCATCCAGAGTCTTGAACCTCATAGTCTGTACTACAGAAATGCACCAAATGCAAATCCAAATGGCTGTTTCCTATTTAAGATTTCTTCTTGTTTGAAACCTGTAGATACATGCTGTATATTGTTCCAACTTTTAAGAACATAAGTTGACAGCAAAAACAAAAACGTTTTTTGCAACTTTTAAAAAAATGTAAATTTAGTTTGGAGTTTCATAATATCTTTATCCCTTGTTGTTTAGTATTAACAAATCAAATCAGAGTAACACTTTTTACAGCTCTATTCTCCCTGACTCCTGAAGAAATGAAGGATTACAAACAACTACAATCAGTGATCTCATCTTGCGGCTGCTTGCCGTCTATTAGCCGTCTGCCTCTCTCCCCTCACTGGCTCTGTGACCAGTATTTGTGGTTGCACAGAGTTTTTAATCATTTTTTATATCCACTCATTTTCAATATTAATCTATAACCTCCTACAAAGTGATAACACACCAGATCAAACTTTAAAACCTTAACTGTCTTTCCCAAGAGAGCATGTGAGCTGAGTGGAGCCCAAATAATCAGGGAAGAAAAGTCTGGACTGAGCACAGAGCAATTCTGTTTTTACTCTATCCTACTTGAATTTTGCAGTGGCACCATTCACACCATGACTTCAAAACATGCCAGCCCCAGAATCCAAGAAAGCATGACTCTATGTATTTTGCAAGCAGTAATATTATCTGCACATTATGTTAATACAAAGTTTTTTTTTCTCATTTCGGAGTGTGCCATGGATATTTCTCGCTCCGCACTCCACAGGACGTCTGATTGAGCGAAGAGCAGCTGTGGGTCAGAAGAAACGGATATGAATGCTGACCCACAAAAAACCATATCTGATGGGCTCGCATCTTAACCCTTTATCTGACTGAAATACAGACACAACCAGCTGATTGACAGTTTGATCGACTGGACTGGGCATGGGTTGTTGGAGGGTTTAAGCGTTTGACGGGTTGGTTGGCTGACAGTCTCCCAAACAAAAGTTGATATCTTGAATTGTATGTGCAACCTCTCTGAATATGAAAAAAAAGAAGTAATTATATCTGCACCACCACCAATCGGAAAGGGTTTAGACTTTGAAAAGTCCTTGTTGGCCTTGATTTAAGGTCACTCCATTTCTGCTTCACCTCTCACACTTATTCTTCTCTTATCCGCTCACTATCTTTGTGATTGATGGCTGTAGTTATTACTTGCCATCTTCCAATCTTTCTTCTCTTGGTGATGCTGTTATTGAAATTAGATTTGAGCTGTTCTATCCTTCACAACACTTCATAAAAGTGAAAATGATTTTTTTTTTCTCTTTGGATTCTAATTTTACAGTTTCTCATCTTTGAATATCAGAAATAATAAGCATCTTTCCATCAGTCGCAACATCACAGTGACTGCAAGACTGTAAGAGAACTGAAGTATGGCTTTATCATTATTTCAGTATACATATTGACCCCTATTGGCAGCCACCAACATCGCCAACTACAAGCGGCTTGACACGATGGATTATTCAGCCCCATTTATTGTGTATTGCAAGCAACGCATTCACTGCCTTAAACATGCTGGGATTCAAAGTGATGCAGATCAGGCTGGGGTCGCAACTTTTACATTTCTCTCCCTCATCAGGTCATAGTCATGCATTTGAAGAAAACAATGGTATACTTTTAAATGAATAAACATCGTGGAGCCTGGTTCGATTGAAAATAATGAATAAATGAATGAAACACAACAAGTGACCAGCAGAGGTGGGCGGGGTAACCATAGACAGAGAGCTTAACTACTGTAATGGTAGCTACCTGGATTGTAAATGCAAAACCAGAAGGAACTAAATAAGCAACACAAATGCACAGAAACTGAGTGTTGTTGACTTTGCAGACCACAATGGAAATCACACTAGAAGACAGTTTTAACCCTTTTCCCTCTGGGAGACCTGCAAAAACAGTCTGATACACTGGTGTGTCTATATTCCTGTATTTACAGTAATTGTTGTGATGGTAAGGTTGTTTACTGTAAGAGCCACAGCTCTCACGTGTAGATAAATGCTTATGCTGCTTGTTTATTGCTCAGAGATACTTCACATTGCAGTGCAAGAGAACTGTTTATATCCATGCTTGACATTAAAAAACTGAATCCAAGACATCCTGCTGTGTTTGGCTTACCATTTTCAGAATCTACAGAGAAATAGGGCTGTCCCTGTAGGATGCTGTATACAAGCTTGGCGCTGTTCCCGTATGTTTGATCATCAGCGTCAGTGGCAGTTATAGTAGCAACAGATGTGCCTGGGAAAAAAACAAAAGGAAGAGCAAACAAAGTCAAGTTCAATGCCAAAATCAGCGATTACGACACAATATACCATGAAGTAACAGACTTCACTTATTTTATGCATCCACTGTTCATTTAGAGAGAATGTGCTGTTAATCTGACAGTTCTTTTCAGCAATGCAATGAGTCACACCGACTGATCTTCCATCGTCATGTCAAACATGAGGGATCTGCAGAAAATCAAATAGTCGGCTCCACAAAGGCTGAGAAGTCTGAGTAAAATCAATCAGGATTGTAACATTTGCAATCCCCCCTTGGTAAAAAAACAACATAGTATAGATACTGCAGATTTGCTCAATTATTCATAAAATAAATGAAAGGCTTGCAGACCATAACTGAGTCTCTTTTTGTTAGTTTTAGTTCAAATTATTGCTTTGATTAAAGCCTCTGTGCTGCTCGATTGATGTCTTAAATAATCGTGAGAGTGAAAGTGCGTACGTCATCAAGATATCGAGTGAGGATGTCTGCCTCTATGAGTAAGATATTTCAGGTTGTATGATAAATTCAATATTCGCTGCGTCCTGTAAATAAATCATATGATGTTGTTGTTTTTTTAGTTGTCTGTCTCAATATATGGACTCAATGTAATGAAATATTTACAGATCATACAGATCATACACATTTTTTTCTTTCTGCAGTTATTATGTTTGAAAGAATTCGGGCAGCAACTTACCATCCTTTCAGAAACTACTGATTATTTTTCTGATTGATGAATTAATTGCCTTGTTCATCAAATATTCAAAACGTTGTGAAAAACATTCACATCAATTTATAAAAGCCCACTGTTTGTTTTGAACTTTCTTCTTAAACATCCAAAGACTCTTAATTTGTAAAATGATGAGAAGTGGGATACATTTAGCAGCGCTCTAAAGTTCACCTCTGTAGACTCCCATGCAAACATAAATCCATACAAGCAGGGCTGTTTTAAGATAAGCAAGTCATATTATGGTTGCATTTCTTTTTCTGACCTCCTTTGCCAGAGCCAGAGGTGCAAAATCCTACTCAGAAGCTGGGATATAATTACTGTTTTCATCGATTTTCTTTGAGTATATGTGCTCATGGATAGTGATTTTTACAGTTTTACAGTCTGGGATTAAATCTCACCGTTCTGTTCTGAAAGTCTTATCTGGCAAAAAGTAAAAACCAACCAAAGGCCTTCTATGCACATATCACACATTACACATTAAAGTGATATGTTCTTCATTGCATGATAAATGTTATTTGTGAGCTAAAGTAAGAGAAAAAGGAAATAGATAGAGATTTCAGCCCTTGCAGAGCCCAGTTCCTCTCAGACTCCCTGTCATTGACTCACTCCCATATTAAGTCCTACATAATCCACCCAAGCGTTTCAATAACGCCACATTGGAAAAAAACGTCCTTGGCATTCAGGAGACCTCTGCCGTGTCCTGTTTGGGTCCAACTGTCTCCATGCATACTAATGAACCCTTGAACATCTGTCCCACTTAGTCCCCAGCACTGATAGCATAAAAGGGAGCTGCTGATTTCTCATGGCTGGCTGGCTGGATTAACCAGCGTGTTCAGTCTGAACGTATAAGGCACTTTATTAGCCCGGAGATGAGCAGCGGTGACCCTGACCCACCTTTAGCCAGTGTGCATACAGCTCAGAAATCTAAGAGCAGCGCACATTATGAATCACAAACAGGCCATTGTTATTTGTCAATTGGGTTTTTGATTCACCCTTGATTGCTCCTGTGTATTAATTTGCGGTTGCATAATTGAGGATTGATTTCAAGTTGCATGCATTATTTTTTATAAGCTTTGTTTATATCCATGCCAATTGGTTTATTTATATTACTTGAATGGAACGAAGTGGAGGGCAATGAAGCAAGTCCTTAATTGGAAAGACTGCGACAATTTAAACTTTCAATATTTTCTGCTGCCTATTAAAAAATGGCAAATGGCATTACTTGTTATGCATGCTCAATGAGCCTGACTAAACAAATAAGGATCACACAAAAAAACAACTCTGAATACGGCATCAGAAGAGGCAAGTCCAGCTTCTTCACAGCCATGTAAGGCAGAGAACAGCTCTAAAACGACACATCTGCAGAGCTTGAACCAGAAGATGTTGGGCTTGATTGCTGAAAACTGCAGTGATTTTTGACATGATATCCAAACAGTGGCCCATTAAGTAGAAGAAAAAAAACTAACTTACCAACTTCAGACATCTCAGGGACGCTGGCAAAGAAGATATCCTTTTCGAACTTTGGCGCATTGTCGTTGATATCGTGGATTTTGATATTGAATTCAGTGTCAGGCTCCAGCTCTGCATTGGTGGTCCTATCCAACACCTTTGCATGGAGTGTGTACATTGCCTTCTCCTCTCTGTCCAGCCTCTTGGTGGCGTGAATATCTCCGGACTTCTCATCAATCAGGAACAAGGTGCCCGCCCCGTCCCCGGTCAGGACATACCTCACGTTGCCTCCACCTCTGTCCATGTTTGAGTGCAGCTGAAAATTAGAGACACGGGTTAACTCACACGGAGTCAAACCTTTATGAACACAAGGGGATATGTTTTGATTCCAATGGCAACAGGAAATAGAGCTTTAAATCTACCAAAAAAAAATGAATGAAAGAAAATACAATCCGGAATATATACACGACACAATCACCTTGAACACACCTCTGCACAAAAACAATTCCTTTCCCTGCTTGTTGCTCACATCAAGTCTATTTGTAATACTGCATGTTGTTTTTCGGACTGTGGCTCAACATTTTGTTCTTAAAATAAATAGAAATGTGCACCCATGGGCCTCCCAATGTTGTAGGTAGTAGGAGTATTGCCAAGGTTCTCTTGTCTTTATGCATTACAACAAGGAAATGTGCTTTAATGAAATATCTCCTCTTTCCTATGCCCTGACAAATTCATCTCTCTCTGAGCCTTCCTTCAACAAAAACTTTCAGCATTCCAACAGAAACAGCAAACAGGTAATCTTTCCCTCGGCTAGGCGTAAAAGGACGCACTGAGACTTGTTTACACCTCTCGAAAACGAGCTTATGTGACCAGCAAAAAAAACTCCTCGACAGCTCAGTTGATGAGTCAAACGTATGATGTGCACCTGTGACATCAAAAATGTTGCTTATTCACCGTTCCCTTTAGCTCTTTCCATCAACTTTTCAACCGGTAGCTAGTTCCTTTTTCCGTGCTTAAGTTAATGTCATTACTTTGATCAATCGAAAGTTTGTGTATTTTTAAAGCAAACTCAGCTTAAGAAAGAACAAAATACAAAATCCAAAAAGCATAGAAAAAACTGTTTTGAAATGCAAAATAATGGAAAGGCAAACAGGCAATTAAAAATATGATTCATTGCGATAAATTATTGAAATTCAGCGATAAATTGCGATTAAAAAAATAAATGGTTTGACAGCCCTGATTTAAACCATAAAAATGTTTTGCAGCTGCAATACATTAACTGAAAAGTATCATTCTTTTGTAGCGTGTAATCTGCCTTGTTTTTGCAACCAGTGGAGGCGCCCCCTTGTGGCAAATAAAAATAAGGTTTCAAGTTTTAGACACTTCCACATTTGCTTCACTTTAGCGATCAAAGACTAAACCAACCTTTTTTTCCTGTATGTATAGTGTATCATTTACACTAATGTCTAGATTAATTTAAAAGAATCCCAGCTCTGTTGTGAACACTGAAATAATGGTGTTAAAAAACCCACCGAAGAATCAGTGTGTGAGAACAGAACATGGCCTTGGCAGTGTGACACACTCCATTAGTTCAGATCAAATTAGTCTTAGATTTTTCTTCCAAATTGCGCCTTTTGAAAAATGATGATAACCTGACCTACAGCAACAACTGCTAAAATTAGTCACCTCTGACCTATCCATCACCTTGAAGCCCGCTCTGAGTGTCACTGAGGAGTAATGGCGGCCTGCTGTGACAGACACTTGATTCAAGCTCATTACTGTACTGGAACTGTCAGCAGATATATTTAGAGCACTATCTCATGGGCTCACATTTAAAATGACATGTAGTTAGGGACACAGAATGTACGTCAGGAACTTATTAATATTAATATTCTGCATGCTGTGAGGAAACTAATTACTTTTTTTCCCCCGCAGTTGGGAGAGCGATGTCAACAGCACAACTTTCAATGGAAAATCTGGAAATGTATTGCCAGAGCGCTGGCAATTTTCAGGCCGAATTAAGGAAATGGGGACGCGTGTGAAAACAAGATGCTGTCAAGTTCAAGATGAACAATATGCACTGACTTTCAGGCTGTGTTTGGGAATATTTGAATGCAAATGAAGCCCATTAATCCAAAGTCTATTAAAGAGGAGCCTTCATTTTTCACATGTGTTTTTGTTGTGGGAGAATCTATTTGTTGTTTCTGAATATGAATTCTCTGCTCAGTTGTGGACAAGTGAAGCGAGGATAGTTTATGTGTCTAGGATGTGAAGGCTGCTGCTGCTATTGACTGTGAAAGTCAGGCTTATTTTAGTGACTGAGAGAGTGTTAGTATGAGGTTTTTTGCATCTTAATGGCCTTCACATCATTGCACATTTTCTCCTGTGAAGTGAGCCTTCTGTAGTACCACGTCAACCTTTTTTCTACTCTAAAATTCACTCCACTCAATATTTTTCCAGAGCATTTTTTCATTCCCAGTTCTTAAACATTGATAGAAACTCGATATCATTTTGTTTAAAAAAAAAAAAAAGTACCTGTAGGGTATCATTACAGAGCTCAACAAGACCGACCACCTCTTCGGGGGGGCTCTGGTTCTGAGAGTAACATCGTCCATTGACATTTCAGAAAATCCTTATATCCATATTTTTAATCCTGGAACTAAGCCAACCATCTCCCCCGAATACTCGTGAATATAAAACATTTGTTTTGGCACAAAAAAAAAAGATTGGAAATTGTAGAAAAAGATAAAGGTACAAGACTGTATACAAGATTTTTCATGTGAGAAAAGGAACTACACATCCCACAATTCAGTGTAATTCCAACAAGAATCAGCGATCTATAGTTTAGCTGGCTTCTTTCTGAACGTACACGGTCGTCCTTAGCAGCTGCAGCCCCTTAGCTCACTGTGTGTGTTTTAATAGTTTGAACTATATCTCTCAATACAGCCTTAAGCGTGTCTGGACAAATACAGAGTCTTGACATTTTGCCAACTTACCGGCTAACCGGCTAGCTAGTGGTAGCAGTTGGTGCATAGACTACTTGCCTTTACCTGATACCTGATCCCACATTTCATTATTTGATGTCTGTATCGGAGCAACTGTATGAATAATGGCTGTAATAAACCGGTTCACTTGGCAGAGCATATTTCATTACTGCTGTTCAGATTCATTGCAACACACGCACACACACGCACACACACACACACACACACACACACACACACACACCAAAATCATTCCATTGTAATAATTAGGACAATACAATTTCGAACAACAGGAAATGCATTTTATTCCAAATCTTTTGATTGTATCCTCAAGGACCTTCCATCTGATTATTACCATATTTCCTTTCTTTGTAGTTAATCCTGCAAAAAAGGAACCTGAGAAGCAAAAACAACAAACAAGGAGCCATCAAAGGAGTCTCTGCTGCAGTCCCAGCTGTCTGCAGAATAATAGGAACTTTACAGAACCTTGTGTTCCGTATTTTACATATTTCCCTCAGTCGACGTGGGAGCGTGCAGGCCCTTAGCTCCTGCGCTTTGCTAATTATTGGATGTCTACATAGCGTCAGCTTCCTAATCATATGGGTAAACAGATCTGCTCCCCAAGGCCATATGGATTTCTTACTGAGTGGTAGTGCAAGTAAGGAGGTGTTTCGCTGAAGTAAGCACCCCTGTTGTGTTATTATGGAATAGCATCGAAAAAAAGAGTGCTCCTGTTCATGGAACTTATGCAGGCACTGTGCAAGCGACATGGAGGTTAAATATTTGATTTTCACAGGGATGTCTGGTAGAAACTGTATGGATTCAATGTAAACACTGTAGTGACTTTGAGTTCAGAAGCTAAGCTAAACAGATTTTTGTACCAGAATGGAGATATTAAATGTCCAAATGTAGTTTAAAACCAGCCTTTAAAAAACTGTGGCTACTCTTGACAGAGTGTTTTCCACACAGCCTTAACAAAATCAAATGTTAGCAGCGCCCAACTATATTTGCAGGGATTTAGTGGCTCCCCTTTCAAGGCCTTGCAGCACAAACACAGCCCTTTTCAAGGCCTTACAACAGAAGCACAGAAGAGAGCCTTGATGAGTTAAATCGCCTTGCACAAACACTGAGGAATTGTCAGTAAAGCAGCAAAATCATTGGCAATTCTTGTCAGGTCTCTGGTAAGCATTGCTCGCTGCTGCAAGGGGGAGATAGCAAAATAGAGCGCGGAACGGATACAGGATAATTACTCTTCCTCACTCGCTCCCTCTGTCTCTCAAGACAGAGCAGGAATTCTGTACTATTGGAAAACATCAGTATAATGCACCGGTATACTCTGCAGGTTAAAGTTACAGCTTAAGGTATCTCTAGTATGCTTTGCATTTTCTTACAAGTTCTGCCAAAAAAATTCATGCAAAAAAAAAAATGTATCGAGCAAAAGGCCCCTGCAATATCTCAAGGATACTTATTGGCAAAATATTAGCACAACAAAGCGAGCTACCTTGAATATTGTAATTCAGGGCAGCACATTTTTCTTTACAAGGCACAAGACAATGAAATGAGGCAGGAATTTAATAGGATTTTGTTCACTTCAAACACGCCACTCAACTGCTCCGGGATGCAAACTTTGGGCTTGTATTGCTCAGCATTGCAAGTGTTCACACAGTCCACACAGTCCTGCTTAAGAAGTAGGGCACCACAGCTGCACACAGCGAGCGCTCACACTCATTAATGGCCCGTGAAAGTCAGTTAGAATGAGATTTGAGGGGTTTTCTTTTTTTTTTAACGCTTGACGCATGCAAAGCCACTGCGTAATATATTTACAGGAATA